CATAGAGACAGTACATCTTGACTTCAGGAAAACATAAGTTTCCTGATATGTTCTTTGAAAAAGATAGTGAATTTGCTAGAATATAGAATCATTTTTATTTGACTGAACCAACCAAAGAGAATTAATTCTCTAATTAGCTGGTGGGGTTGGTAAAACAGGGCTGTTTTTGTCATGGCCTACCTGTGGGATAACCAATGACTTGGAAAAATCATCCCAATGGGGGCAGCAGAGAGCATTAACAAAGAACCTCCTGAATTTCTGAAACCTGGTGAAAATTGTTATATATAAATATTAGGTAACATTTATCCGCTGCTTACAATGAGCTAGGCCCTGTGTTGACACTGCACATATATTATTTAATATAATCATTAAAACAGGGACCTATGACATGGATGTTATTTTATATTTGCCCTTTTTACAGATGAGAAAAAAAGCTCAGAGAAGGAACTTGCCCAAAGTCATATTAGTGAGGGTCAGAGCTGGCAAATGAAGGGAACAGGCTAAGGAGAATTTTGGACAGCAGATCATTAGGATTCAGTGACTGATTGTGGTCCCTACTCTTCTATTCAGGAGCCAGGAGACACTGGAATTCTAGCTAAGGGCTTACAGCTAGGTTTGAAGTACAACTGAAATTAGGAGCAAGTATGATGCTTGGGTGAAAATGAGTAGCTAGAGCAGCTTGGAGTTAATGGGAAACCAAGACCTAGAGAGGACTGTCAGGTCATCAAGTCATTGTAGGATAAAGTTCAAGAGGAAAGCCCAGGCAGGGACATGGGGATCAGAGTGGGCCTGGAAGAGTCAAGAGGATACTTGTGACAACAGGTTGCTAACAGGGTATAGAATTCCTTAAGGGGATGTCTGGTTTAAAAAGATTTTAATTCTGGCAGAGCTGAGGAACAGCATGGACTGGGACCAGCAGCCTCAAAAGAGTATTCAGATTAAAAAAGATAAGAGATCTACTGTAATTTGAATTGGTAGTACCATTGACTGGGAAAAAAATATTTAGTAGGGACATAGTAGCTATCTGAAGGGCTGACATTTAGCTCTGATGTGTTGATCCAGAGGAAAAAAAAATAGGACCAATAAATGGAAGTTACAAAGAGATTTTTCTAAGTACAGGGAAAAAAAAGGCGTTTCTAACCACTGAAAATTAGAGTGAATTGAGAATTAAGTGCAGGACATACTGGAAATGGGAGCATGTGAAAGGTAGCTGAAGGATGTCAGTTTAATGATTCTAGTGAAGGAAGAGATAATTGTGGGAAGAGAGTGTATTGAGAAGCAGAAAAGAATGGGATTCAGAGTCCAGTTGGAGGGGCCCGTCTTTGAAAGCTGGAGGGATGTTATCTCAGCTGAGGCTCCAAGGAAGAGACAGGAACTGATATAAAGGAAGAGACATGAAAGGCGGAGGAACAGGAGAATCCTACATAGGGTTCTCAATCTTCTGAGAGTTTTCTCGAGTTTTTAGTTGAAGGAGAGGGTGGAAAAAGAACATCAGGCAAGAGATGAAGTTTTTGCTTTAACTGCAGAGATGATGTACAGTTTAAGCCAAAGGGGAACAGCTGCTTAGCTACACCTAACAAAAAATCTTAGTGTTTGAAATATTTTTTCTCAGTGCTGGGCATGAGAGTGCCCGTCTCCTTGGTTTAGTTAGTATTTATCCCATTTCACCTCAGGAAATCTGCTCAGCTCTCTTTATTGGCATTATGATCTCTTCAGCACCTATTATATCTCAAGGCTTCACGTTTTTTGTCTGTCTGTCTTTTGTTTTGGCCACGCAGCGTGGCATGCGGGATCTTAGTTCCCTGACCACGGATCAAACCTGTGCCCCCTGCAATGGAAGCACGGAGTTCTAACCACTGGATTGCCAGGGAATTCCCAAAGGCTTCACGTTTTAAGAGTGAATTTCCAGGGCCCCCCCAAAGCAGAAAACTTTCCTACAAATGCAGTCATGAATGGACTAACTTAGGAACAGCTGGCCAGGCAACTGTCCCAATGTCTGGAATTTGTAAAATTTAGTTAAGGTTTGGCCCCAGGGAAAAGGATTAGGTCCTTCCAGTCCTATAAAGGAAGAGGGATTACTTTGAAGGCCTAATGAAGAAAAATCCCAGTCCTTCCTTTAGCTTTCCATTCTGAGTGAAGAAGGCAATCTATCTTTTCCCCAGAGGCTGCAAAGAGCAGACAGGACACCATACTATTAGAGAAGGGAGTCCTCAGCATGGACTCTCCTCTCTAATCCTCTAAATGGGGTTGGGTTAAGTTTAGGAGACGGGCTCATGGAAAGGAATTACTACCATGATGTCAAGATTGCTAAGTATCAAACCACTTCCGGACATGGGTAGGGAGAGAACATGATTCTATTTTAAGAAGTAGTGCCTGCATCTGCCTCTTTTGTGGGCTTATGTGGGTGGGGCACATCCCCCTTCCATATATCACAGCTAGCTACCTCTGTCCTGATGACTCGTCCACTAGGAAAAGTTAGCAAGTAATCTGTGAAGAAAATGAGAATATAGGGGAGGCTGTTTACAACAGAACAGAGTTCCAGTATGGGGTGGTGGTGAAGCGGGGGTAGACATTTTTGGCTTTTTCTAATGGATATCTCTTCCCTTCAACTGTGTAAAGTAGAGGTTGTTCATTCTTCTACTCCTGTAGGAAAGGGTGGCAGGGTATCATCCTTCTCTTTGCAATCCACTGCTACTTTCAGATGATTGTGCTCTCATCCTCTTGTAAAAACTCTTCCTTCTTTAAAGCCTATGCCATTTGGCTCTACTACTCTTTATCCCTCATGCTTACTAAGAACTCCAGTGCCTATTAAATAACCTCTCTGTGCCAACTCTTCCTATCTGGGTGGTTTTAGGAAAATCTACGTGATCATTAGCTAGTTTTTGACCTTCTCAACTCCAACTTATACTCCTACTTTCTTTTTTGTTTTTAATTAATTAATTTATTTTATTATTTTTTATTTTTTGGCTGTGTCAGGTCTTCGTTGCGGCATATGTCATCTTTCATTGCAGTGCGCGTGGGCTTCTCTCTAGTTGCGGCATGCGCGTTTTCTCTCTCTGTAGTTGTGGCGCACAGGCTCTGTAGTTTGCAGCATGAGGGCTCTCTAGTTGAGGCGTGCAAGCTTAGCTGCCCCACAGCACGTGGGAATCTTAGTTCTCCGACTAGGGATCGAGCCCGTGTCCCCTGCGTTGGAAGGCAGATTCTTTACCACTGGACGACCAGGGAAGCCCCTATTCCTACTTTCAATTCCTTAACTTTACCATTTCTGGCAACACAAGTTTTTCTTTCTGGCAGCTTAAGGGCCATAGTAAAGAATAGGAGAGGAAGCATTCTTGACTGTGGAATATTAGTGGTGCCAGAACTGGCTGGTGTTGACTTCAAGACCCACTGAAAGACTGGAACTGGCAACCATGATATATAAGGATGGAACAGCATGGGGGTTGAATTCCACGTGATATTTGGTGATGGTTCAAGATCTGGATTTGACCTTTATGCCAAGTTCCCAAGAAACCTGGGTCTGGAGCTAGCTTTTAACCTTTCTTGTTAGCTGCCTTTCTGGGGACATCTGACACTTTTAATAACTTCCATCCTCTTGAAACACTCTCTTCCTTCTGATTCTGTGACAATTAGGATCCAGTGTTTTTCTTCCTCACTGGTTGTTCCTTTTCAAAGATTCTCCAAGGGCTCTCCTACTTGTGCCTTAAATGTTAGAATTCACCAAGGCACTCTTCTTAGCCCTCTGCTGTTCTCTGGGGAGCTTATCCAAATCTATGGCTTCAGCTACCACTGAAATGTTCATGATCCCGAAATTCTGGCCTATACATCATTGGAGTTTTTAAAAAGCAGCTTTCTATAAAAGTAATATATGTTATGTATACAGTAAAACAAATTCAAACAGTAAAGATGAATCTAAAATAAAAAGCATAAGTTTCATCCCTCCCAGGCCCACTCTTCATAGGTAATTTTTTAACGCTTGTGTAAATATGTAAGTATTCTTCTGCACTTGCTTTTTTTCCATTTAATATAATTTTCTCCCATGTGTTAGATTTGTACCTTCAACTGCCATTTGGACATCTCCATCTGGCTGTCCCACAGATATCTAAAACTCCTTCCCTTTCTTTGTAATTCTCCCTTATGCTATACCCTACTGCTAGTCTCTTTCTACCGTCAACACCGTGAAGAAATTGTCTTTACACACTGTGCCTTTCCAGTCACGCAATTTACCTCAATGTTGTTTCTACCCCCACTGTATCTCTGAAACAGCTTTCTCCAAAATTACTAAACGACTTACTTGTTGCAAAATCCAATGGACACATTTTAGTCCACACCTTACCTGATCTGTTATGTTTGACACTGACCAGTTTCCTTGATACTTCTCTCCTGGTTTCTTCTTTCCTTTCCTTCTCAATGTCCTCTTTTCCTCTCTCTTCCCTTATGTCATCTCAAATTCCTCTTTCTAGGCCATCTTAGTCACTTCCATGGCTTCAACAACTTTTTATATTCACACGCTAGGGCGCGCCCTCCCCCGTCCCCCAAACTTTCCTTTTGGACTCCCAACCCACCTTATCTAATATTCTATTGTCTAATGGATATCCCACAGGCACCTAAAGCTCACTCTTCCCCCACCCCAAACAACAATGAAAATGGCATTATTCCCCAGGTGCCCAAGCCAGAACACTGGGAAATACCTTGGATTCCTCCCTCAGCCTCATACCCGTTTCCGATCAATTTTTCCCCATCTGCACTCCCCACTTCTAGAGGACAGACCGCTGTAGTCTCTTACCAGGGTAAGAGCTTCCCAATTGTTCTTGCCTCTAACTTCACGCCCTCCAATTCATTCTCCTCATTGCAACCAGTGATCCTTCTAAAACGCAAATATATTTGTTCACACCTCTGCTAAGACTCTTCAAAACCTATTCATTACCCTTAGGATAAAATAAACTAATTTACAAGGCCTTGCGTAATCAGGCCCCTCCCAACCTCCGGGACTCATCTATTACCTCTCTTTTAACCAAACCAGGCTGCTGGCAGCTCCAGAAGGTACCTAGCCCCCCACCCTCAATTCCCAACAGTCCAGTATTCAGCTCAGGCGACACTTCCTTCAGGAAGTGGGTGCTCAAAAACCAAATGCTCAAAAAGTGAAATCCGAGAGGGTATCTGAAAAGCACTTTCTGTTCCGGACCCAAGTTTACGGAACGTCCGGGTTACCAGGAAGCTCAGAGCAAAGGTCAAACCCAGATCATGAACCTTCCCCCAAGTTCGCGGGGCAATCCGACCCCCGTAATATTCCGCCCTTATGCGTCATGGCTGCCAGTCGCAGTCTTTCAATGGATCCTGAAGTCGACACCAGACAGCTCCCACCCCACCAACGTTTCCACACTCAAGAACGCAACCCTCTCTCATGCCTTACTACGGCCCTGAAGCCGTACTGAAGAAAAACTTGCGTTGCCAGCTTGCCCCAAAGCAAGATGGCTGCCAATCTCTATTCTCCGCTACCGAAATGAAGCTATCCACTTCCCGTTTAATGCCGCTGCCAGGCTGCCCTCAACTAGCATGGCTACTCCGGCTCATGCCTCACTATGGTCTCGAAGCCGCCACTAACCGGCCAGGTTCCGGGAGGCGCTGTTCAGGATGCAGCCACCCCCGCCCGCCTCTCCCCTCCCCCACGCCCGCGGCGGCGGCGGCGGCGGCTGGAGCCCGGATGCGGCGCCGTGAGACAGGCCCGGGAGAGCGGCGCGGATGGATCCAACATGGCGGCGCCGAGCCTGAGCCGAGAGTGAGGCGGCGGGGCGGCCGGAGTGGGGAGGGGGAGTCGAGCGGGACGGGGCGGGGCCGGGCGGGGCCGCAAAGGGCTTGGGGAAGGAAAGTGGAGGGGGAGGCGGTGGCGACGTCTAGCCTGAGAACCTGAAGAGAGGGAGGTGACGGGACGCTGCAAGGTGGGGGAGGGGAGCGGCCGAGGGGGGCGTGCGGGGGAGGTGGCAACTGTGGGAGAGGGCAGGGTCGAGGCGGAGGAGTGGGGCAGGGGAGGGGCGTAAACAAGGGCCGAGGCTGGGCCAGGCTAGGGGTATTAGAGAGGCCGAGGTGGGGAGTGGGGCTGCGGTCCCGCCGGGCTGAGGGGGTAGGAACGGGAAGGAGGGGCCGAGGGTGTGAAGGGGAAGGGGGCTTGTGGCATGTGGTTGGAAGAAGGACTGGACTCTTGTAAGGGGTGTTGTGGAGAGGTGGGAAAAGGTGAAGATTGGATTTGAGACGTTTGGGGGGAGGTTCTGAAAGTGTTAAATTGGAGGTGGGAGGGGGAAGGGCCTAGGGGAGAATTTGGGTGGAAAAGGAGAGGACGGAGGTTTGGGGAATGGAGAGCGTGTCGGTGTGACGAGGTAATGGAGAAAGTGAGAGACTAGGAAGAAAGTTTGGGAGGAAGGGGAATGGGATGGGAGATAGGACAGTGTAGCTGCACGAGTGATAGAGGTTCAGGGGTTTCCTTTTCCCCTGTAGAAAGGAAGAGAGAGCAGAGTTAAGCAGCATCAGTTACAGCCAATTCTAATTGCCAGGCCTTTAGCTTTTACTAGGGTGGGAAGGGCAGAAGGGAATGGTCATGTGGATTTGGAGAATTGGGGTTGGATGAGGGTTCAACTGGATTTCCAGAAGCTGCCTAGCTTACTGCTCCCTTGTTTTTCCTGGTTACAAAAAGAAGAGAAAATGGGGAGCCTGGTATCGCTGGAGTGTGGAAGGAGTAAAGGACTTTTCTAGTTTTAAACAATTAGCAATGCCAGAATGGGGAAACAGCCATGCTATGTTGGAACGCTGTTTGCAGGGAACAGAAAACACAGGGTGGTGTCTAGGCAGCCATGCTAATTAAATGAGTGCTTTCGTTTCCAGACCCTTCTTTTGCTGTTTAAGTGCTAGGAGCGGGGGTCAGTATTCATACATAAAAAATGTTCCCTGGTGAAATGTAGATGTTTGACTGGATGCTGCCTCAGTGGATATTTTGTTCTCACAGTGTGTGAGAATTTGGAGGATAGTTCTGGTCTCATAAGTGAAGTAACGGAAAGAAAGTGCCTTCTTTGGCTGTAACCACTTTCCTCCTAGTTCATCTAAAGATGAAAGTCAATGTTAATACTGGAACAAAGTAGGTGGGCCTCATAAGGAATTGAGGAGTCAGGTGAGGTGTCAGAGGATAATTGGTTTCCCCACAAGTTGTTGAATTTGGGACCTTTCTTGCCCTAAGCCACTGAGACTGGAAATTCTTGGAGTTGGTTTTGTGTTGTGAATTGGGTAACAGAAGGTTAGGGAAGCCTGGGGACTTTGATGGGAGTGAGTTCTCTCATTTAGCTTGGAGTGGATCATTTCAATTGAAATGGCTTTAGGCTTGTCTGTATATCTTTGCAGCTGAGATTGACTACCTCTTTGAGGTTTCAAAATAAAGCTTGAAAATTGACACTTCCCCCTCTTATTTGTTTTTGCTTTGCTGCTGGCTTTGAACCTTGTGCTAGGAAGAGACCTGGGAAATTAAGTTTCTTGCAGAGGTAAGTCTGGAACTTTTTATTGTTTTCAAACAATGGAAGGGAATGGAAATGGCATGAAATGGAAATGGCATATTGGGAGTTGAGCTCAGTAATGGGGTAGCTGACAGGGAAAATGGGTTTTCAGTGGGTAAGATCTGTTGCAGTCGTTGTCCCTTTGGGTCACTGGAGATTGGTAGGAGGGAAGGGAGAACAGAAATTAGGTGTCTTAGGGCAAGACTCCAGCCTTGTTTTGTTATTATCTAGCCTTCGTGGTCAGCTCTGAGAGAAACATTTTTAAACATATGGAACTTTGTACTCTAGTACAGTGTCTACTAAATGTTGGCCTTGGAGGGTTGCGGAGGCACCTGCCCTGGGAAGGCTTTTCCTCTAGCTTACTCTTTATCCTAGTTGTTCTGGAATCTTCATTTTGAAAACACAGTTTGTAATTCTGACTTCCAGATATTTGGTTACATTTTCTTGGTCCTACCAGCAAGAAAGCTCTTTATGTAGTCGTCTTAGTCATCTTTAAGGTTTTCCATGTCCTTTACATTTCAAGTTTCAAGACATCACTCTTTTTTAGATTTTCCACATGACTTTCCCTCTCACAGGGCTTCTGAGAGAGTCAAATACCTCTAGTTCTTTTGGGTTGAAACTAGACTGTTGTTTTCATTTCGAGACATCACTCTTTTTATTTCTTCCACGTGACTTCTAAGGGCTTCTGAGAGAATCAAGTACCTCAAAAAATACAGATCTCATCCCTGGTTGGGATGAGACTAGACTTTGCATGGAAGTAGAAATCTAATAGATAACGATTAGTCAAGAGGAAGTCCTGTAGATACATATAGATTGTTTGTTGGCCCTTGGCTGGCTTGGACCTCCTCCCAAAAGAAAGCGAACAACAAAAAGCCCTGCAGCTCCAGGAAATGCAGCAATTCATCAGAATAAAGAATGAGTCTTGGGAACCTATTAAGGGTGATCCATACGTTAGGCTCTCAAATAGACCCAAATCAGCCAGCAGGATCAGGACTGTTGTTTACTGGAGTGTTTGTCTCTTGGTATCTGGCGATGTTTCAGGCACCAAGATTCTGAAGTTCTTTCTAATCTTCATTTTTAGAGGGGGTATATTCTCCTCACTGCCCTGATACTTTTCATCTAGGATCTCTGTATAATTTAAGCTGAGTTCCTTCGATTCACTGCCACAGAAAGCTGAGTATATTTTGGTTTAAGGGTAAGTTGGCCACGTTCTTTTAGTGCTGAAGTTAGATAGATTCTTGGAACCCCCATCTGGATTGCTGAGTGAGTGAACTCACCATCCTAGATGATAATTAAGTGGGGAGGGCTGCCTATTAGTCTGCATGCCAGCCTCCTGACATTTCTCCCAAGGACAAGCATGGCCTTGGGAAACTTCTGCCTCTTTTTGCTTCATTGCATAAGCAGTATAAGTCTGATCAGCAGCCTAACAAGGAAGGGTCTGCTTTTGGTCTAGTTTTGGGACTTTAAAGATGGCTGCAAGGTTTAAGTGCAGGATCCTTTCTGTCTGTCTTGCAGAGGATGGCATTTCTCTGATCTGCACAGAAATTTAGATTGAACTAGGTCAAATTAGACCTCCTGGGATGGGGCGGAAGGGAGTGTAGTCCTGTCACCTGCTGTTCACCTAAATGGCAACAGCAGGTGATAGAGAAGCCAAGGTTGGAGTGGGATGGAACTCCTTAGTTAAGTTAAATGAGTCTTTGTCTGACTGGCTTTTCTTCTGGAATATTGTTTGATGGGTTTGGGTTGGAGGGACCAAATCACTTCCTTTTCCAGATATAGGATGGAAGCGACATGCTGTCTCTCCTTTTGACCCTCCATCTAGAATAGGCTTTCTCATCTTTAGCATTATTGACATTTTGGACCAGATAATTCTTTGTTGTAAGAGGCCGTCCTGTGCATTATAGGATGTTTAGCATCATCCATCGCATTTACTCACTGCACGCCAGTAGCACCCTCCCTTACCACCCTCCCAGTCATGACAATCTAAAATGACTCCAGACATTGCTGAATTCCCCTGGAGGGCAAAATCGCTCCTAGTTGAGAACCACTGACCTAGAAGCTCTGATAATTCCTGTCACTTTGATCCAGCCTAGGATCTACGACTTAAAGGTGGCTGTTTTTTCCTCAAATCTAGGGAGTTAACCCTCAGGATTGAGACCTATTGTAGAATTGCATCCATTGATACACAATTAGGACCACAGTGCTTCCCTGTATTCTGCTTCATTTTCCAGTGACCAGGTATGTGGGGACAATATTTCCTAATTTCCTGGGGTTTATAGTCAGGACACTTGGAATTAGGGAGCTCTGAAGCAGGCTGCTCTTCTGATTGGTTGAATGTGAAACCTGCCCATCTGTTTTTTATGGGATCCACATAATGAACAGCTGGCCAAGGGGAACAGGTGGGATAGGGAACAAGGAGAAGTTGTAGGGGCTCTAAGGAGACTCAGTTTTCTCATGTTACCTGCTATGAGCAAGAAGTTGTTTTCCTTCAGTCCCCTCTATTTGTAGCCAGTGACTGCAGCAGGTGAAACGAGAGGAAGAGACGAGGAAAACCAGTCAATAGTTGAATCGCTATTTTCCCTGTTGTTTCCCATGCTTTGGGTGGGACATCTGGGCTCTCATAACTAGATATGGGCTATATTTCCTGTCCACCTATCTGAACCCATGGTATGGGGCTAGGTGATTACAGGGTGGCCCTCCCTTTTTCTTTTCTTATTTGTTTATTTATTTATTTTTGGCTGTGTTGGGTCTTCATTGCTGCGCATGGGCTTTCTTTAGTTGCGTCAGGCGGGGGCTGCTCGTTGTGGCAGTGTGCGGGCTTCTCACTGCAGCGGCTTCTCTTGTTGGGGAGCATGGGCTCTAGGCATGTGGGCTCAGTAGTTGTGGCTCGCGGGCTCTAGAGCGCAGGCTCAGTAGTTGAGGCGCACGGGCTTAGATGCTCCGCAGCATGTGGGATCTTCCCGGACCAGGGCTCGAACCCATGTCTCCTGCATTGGCAGGCGGATTCTTAACCACTGTGCCACCAGGGAAGCCCTCCCCTTTTCTTAAGGGTATGAGTCTCTCTGCTTTCGTTTCAGGATTAAAAGAGAGAACCAGGTCCTACTTGCTCTTCAATTTTTCTGAGTCCCCAACAGCTTGACTTTTCTGAAGTAGTTTATAATTTCATTCTCTTTCTAACCTAGCCTCAGTTTCTTGGAGTATAAAATGGACAGAATGGCCTGTCTTGCTGTTGAGTAGGGTGCTATGGTATGGGTAGTTTTGCAGTGTGGGGGAGGCTATAGCCAGTTAGAGTATATGCATGATACCTGAGTTGCATGTACTTTTAATTGGGTCCTCTCTCTCTTGGATTTTTGTTGAGTTTTTTTCTTAATTGGTGTCGCTTGTGGTAATCTCTTGGAGATTCATTTCAGTTCAACAACAGGTTACTCCTACTATATGCCAGCCTCCATCTATTGCTAGGCACTAGACACATAAAGATGAAAATGACCTAGGCCCTCTACATGAGTTGCTTAAGATCTAATAGGATAATAAATACACAAATGATTTTAGTACACTTCGATAAATGGTTTAAGGGAAATATGTACAGTGTTCCATAGGAGCACAGAAAAGGACTACTTATACCAGCATGGGGGTGTAGAGAATGAATTTGAAGATGGCATCTGAGCTGATTCTTAAAGGATGAGTAGGAGTTAACCATCTGAAAAAGGGTGGTAATGGGGGGTGTGGAAGAGAAGGGAGAGGGGCATTCAGGCAAGGAGAATAGTCTGAAGAAAGTTACAGAGAAATGAATTGTATGACGTATATGAACTATAAACAAACGGATAATGTTAGAGAATAAAAAGTGAGTTACGAGGTTGGCAAAGTAGGCAAGGCCTGATCTTGGAAGGTTTGGTGTGTTGGGTAAGGAGTTTGGAGCGTTCTTACTGGTAAGGAGGGGACTGTAGCGAGGTCTTAAGCCGAAAAGTGATGTGGTCAGTTGTGCGTTTTAGATAATTCAGCTGGACGTGGGGGATTGATGTAGGCAGGTTAGGGTTAGTGGCTGCAACAGCCTTAGAGTGGCTGTTGCAGTAATCCAGGTGAGAGATTGCTGGGGCCTGAACCAGCATGGTAGAGGTGGAAGGGTGAGGCAGATTTAAGTAGTAGAAAGTAGCATCAACAGGAATTTATAATTGATTGGGTGATTGGAGGCTGTGGTCAGATGGTGGAGCAGTATTGGGTGGTACTCTCTGCCAGGGCAGTAAATAGTAGTGGCTAGAGAGGAGGTGAAAGTTGTTGGACTTGAGGATTGGTTATTGGCTGGGTCACTGATATTACCCAGGATGATGGAGGAACTTTGTGAATTAAATGCCAAAATATATAATAAATGTAGGACTGTGATTGGTCATTGACAGGGGATTGGTAAATGACAACCATGAGGAAAGGTTAGAAGGTGACATATCCAAACGGTGTGTGAACATCAGGCGAGTACAGGTGGCATAGGAGACTTACAACAATGCTCAACCTAGGAGCTTAGTGATGTTTATTGTTTTAAATCCATGAGTTTTGGTGGATATTTAATTAACTTTCTTAGCATTTATTCTCCTGGACTTGGTTTGATTGTTGGAAAAATGAGGTTAGGTTTGTGGAGGGATGAGTCTGGCTGCAGAGGCTAGGATGCTTATCTCTTTGAAATCTCTTAACCATTTAGATAAGTTTTACAGTGATTTCACATGCATCTTCTCATTGGATTCTTAACTCGAGGAGTAATTTCTTTCATCCCTGTTTTGTAGACGGGGACAGTGAGACTTTGAAATTAAGTGACTTAAGGTCACACAGCTACACAGTTTGTTAATGACATAGGCAGAATTTTTTTTTTTTAAGTCCCATTTTTCTTTTTTCTCTTTAGTTATTTATGGCTGCGCTGGGTCTTCGTTGCTGCACATGGTCTTTTTCTCTAGTTGCGGCGAGCAGGGGCTACTGTTGTGGTGCGCAGACTTCATTTTGGTGGCTTCTCTTGTTATGGAACACGGGCTCTAGATGTGTGGGCTTCAGTAGTTGGAGCTCACAGGCTTAGTTGCTCCATGGCATGTGGGATCTTCCTGGACCAGGGATCGAACCCGTTTCCCTTGCATTGGCAGGCGGATTCTTAACCACTGTGCCACCAGGGAAGTCCTGAAATAGGCAGAATTAAAACTAGTTCTAGGGCTTCCCTGGTAGCGCAGCAGTTGAAAGTCTGCCTGCCAGTGCAGGGGACACAGGTTCAAGCCCTGGTCTGGGAAGATCCCACATGCCGCGGAGCAGCTAGGCCCGTGAGCCACAATTACTGAGCCTGCGCGTCTGGAGCCTGTGCTCCGCAACGGGAGAGGCTGCGATAGTGAGAGGCCTGCGCACCGCGATGAAGAGTGGCCCCCGCTTGCCGCAACTAGAGAAAGCCCTTGCACAGAAACGAAGACCCAACACAGCCTTAAATAAATAAAATAAAATAAATAAATAAATAAAAAACACTAGTACTAACCCTAAAGGCTTTCAGTTTCCCTGTTGTCGGCCCCTAAGTTCATCTGATGCAGCTTCTATATTAGAATTTAGAGTGAATTCTCTACTTCTCCTCATTTCACCTACATTTAAGGGATGAATTGATTGGGGGTGCTGGCAGGGAGAGCACAAGGGACCAAAAGCAGTATTTTGGAGGCCAGAGGAACAATTGGGGTAATATTTAATAGAAAATTCTGCTGAATATGTAGCGCTAAAATTGCAGTTAACAAGTCTTACTTAGCAGAAGTTACTATCTATCTCCAGTAAGATCTGGACTTAGGGCAGCATCTGTTGGATATACAGAGCTCTAGGCTGTATTCTTTTTTTTTTTTTTTTTTTTTTTGCTGTACGCAGGCCTCTCACCGCTGCGGCCTCTCCCGTTGTGGAGCACAGGCTCCGGACGCGCAGGCTCAGTGGCCATGGCTCACGGGCCCAGCCGCTCCGCGGGCACGAACCCGCGTCCCCTGCAACGGCAGGCGGACTTCCAACTACTGCGCCACCAGGGAAGCCCTAGGCTGTATTTTTTAATAAGTACTTTGTAGGGACTTCCCTGGCAGTCCAGCAGTTAAGACTCCGTGCTTCCAATGCAAGGGTCGGGGAACTAAGATCCCACATGCCGTGTGGTGCAGTCAAAAAAATAAATAAATAAATACTTTGTAAAAGTTAGTAAATGCTTATTAAGCACTACACTGTGCCAGGCATTGTGATGGGCTCTGGGAATATAGGAATGGATGACTAATTCCTGACATTGAGTGGTTCACAGGTTCTTTCCTTTTCCTTATAGTATAGTGGGGATTGCAGCTGCTGAGCAGGGATTCTGGAAAGCATTGTGCACCTGAGCCCCCAGCATGGCGGGCCTAAAGCGGAGGGCAAGCCAGGTGTGGCCCGAAGAGCATGGTGAGCAAGAGCATGGGCTGTATAGCCTGCATCGCATGTTTGACATCGTGGGCACCCACCTGACACACAGAGACGTACGAGTTCTTTCCTTCCTCTTTGTTGATGTCATTGATGACCACGAGCGTGGCCTCATCCGAAATGGACGTGACTTCTTATTGGCGCTGGAGCGCCAGGGCCGCTGTGATGAGAGTAACTTTCGCCAGGTGCTGCAACTGCTGCGCATCATCACTCGCCATGACCTGCTGCCCTACGTCACCCTCAAGAGGAGACGGGCTGGTGAGGGTGCATTGGGGGCTGGGGACACTGGAATCAGGGAAGAGCTGTGGGCGGCCCTGTGTGAGCACCATGGGAGTCCAAGCAGAAGGAGGCATTGACGCTGGGGAGTACTGAGGAGAATAAGTTATGAGGCCCATTGGAGGGTTGGACTAGGAGAAGGGAAGGGTGTATCTTTTCCTGAGTGAACCCCTCTCCCCCTACAGTGTGCCCTGATCTTGTAGACAAATATCTGGAAGAGACATCAATTCGCTATGTGACACCCAGAGCCCTCAGCGATCCAGAACCGAGGCCTCCCCACCCCCCTAAAACAGGTGAGACAATATTAACTCCCCCTAATTTCCATAATCAAGAAAGAGGACACTGGACCCATCTTTTCCCAGTTTTGCCAGCCTAAATGAAAGGACAGTGTCCCCCCCCACCCATATCTGGCCCCCAAAAAATCAGATGAGGTGTTAATGCTTCATCTGGGTCCTGTAATTGTTCCCACATTGTGTCCACCTTTCAGGTCACATCATTGATACTGTTTTTAGTGCTAAGTCTAAATGATCCTTCCTCATTCCAAGTGAACTGTTTGAATTTCTGCTTTTACCCTACTATGTCTCCCTTTTTACCCTCTGGTCAGTGCCTCCCCACTATCCTGTGGTGTGCTGCCCCACTTCGGGCCCTCAGATGTGTAGCAAGCGGCCAGCTCGAGGGAGAGCCACACTTGGGAGCCAGCGAAAACGCCGGAAGTCAGTGACACCAGATCCCAAGGAAAAGCAGACATGCGGTGAGGAAGTTCAAGGGTTCTAGAGGTAGAGTAGACTTGAAGGGAAATACAAAGAACTGCTGGAATACTGGGCAGTTATTCTATTCAGTGTAAGGCTCCGTTTGATTGCTGTTGCAAAGTGAGATTGAATGGTATAGTCTCTGGGAGGAGAACTCCTCTACCTTTGTGGCAGAGTACATTTCAACTCTTTCTAGGTAATACTAGATGAAAGGGATGCTGTTATGACATCCTTATTGTAGGATGACCCAAGTCATGATAGAGTATTAAAGTGAAATTCTGTGTCTGTTAATTAGGAAAATATCTCCTAGAATCAAGGTGCTACTTGTGAGTGATGGAAGTAATCTGACCTGGGCATGGCCCATTTAAGGGAACCTCTTGAGTTCAGGCAAGGATTTCAGAGGTACACAGAAAAGAACTAGTCCTGGGAAGAGGTAGAGAAGCTGTCAGGTGATGTTCCCAACTTTGCTACTCTGCTGTTCTGTTCTATTGCTGTTCAAGCCTTTCAGACTTGGCTGTAAACTGCAACCTCTTCTGCATATCTTCTTTTCCCCACAGACATCAGACTGCGGGTTCGGGCTGAATACTGCCAGCATGAGACTGCTCTGCAGGGCAACGTCTTCTCTAACAAGCAGGACCCACTTGAGCGCCAGTTTGAGCGCTTTAACCAGGCCAACACCATCCTCAAGTCCCGGGACCTGGGTTCCATCATCTGTGACATCAAGTTCTCTGAGCTCACCTACCTCGATGCATTCTGGCGCGACTATATCAATGGCTCATTACTAGAGGCACTTAAAGGTGTCTTCATCACAGACTCCCTCAAGCAGGCTGTGGGCCACGAGGCCATCAAGCTGCTGGTGAATGTGGACGAGGAGGACTATGAGCTGGGCCGACAGAAACTCCTGAGGAACTTGATGCTGCAAGCATTGCCCTGACCTTTTTCCCCTTCTCACTTCTCGGGGGACTTCTTACCACCCACCTCTGGAGCTTACATACCGTTCTGGGGTTTGTCCTCTACCCTTCCAACCAATCACACCCCTGCCTTTTTTTTTTTTTTAAAAGGAAAAGACAAATGAAAAATGGAAGTGGTGTTCCCCACCCCTCCCTGCACCCATGTGCCTGGGCTTCCCTTTGTTTCCCTTTTCCACCTACACCCCTCATGTGTGTCTCTACAGCCACCTTGCCATTGAGCCATAAGACAAATGTATAGGGAGAAGCAAAGTCTATAGAACATAGTCTTTGTAAGGGATTGAAGTGATCACTGCTTTTGGGTGCATTGAGGGGTTATCAGTACTTCTGGCTTTATGAGGGCTCTTAAATTTTGTCTGAGAAACCAAAGGGCTGTCAGTAGGGAGCTGTGTGGAAGGTGGGACTCTGAAGTGTATTTTGGAAATTAATCACCACCCTCTCCCAAATTATAGAATTTTTAAAAAACAAAGAAGCTGTGGCCCTTTCCACTCTCTTCTGGCCCTTGGTGCTGCTCCTCTCTGCCTCGTTTCCTCCATTCCATGGCTTGAAACCTCGGCCTGGTGTGGCTCCTTCCTTTTCCCTCTTTGTCAAACCCTCTTCAAAGGAGTAATAGGTAAGCGGACTAGGTCAGCCTAGTCGCCCTCCCAGCTGTGTTGTGTGTGTACACACATACACAGGGTGGATGGAGAAGAGGTTGCTGATTAAAATACACTCCCCCTAAAAAGGGGAAGGGGGAGTGTGACACTTCCTTTCCATGTTCAAGTGAAAATAAATAATGTACCCTGCAGCCCTTTTCCCCTTTGCTTTCTTCTGGCTTGGGCAAAGGGCATCATAGGTGAAAGTGAAATGATTCAATATCAATTCCTTTCTTCTTTTTCTTTCCCCATCCTCTATCCCCACTCCCACCCCCAAGCTTGGGAGCATGGGGTTGGGACATGCACTGAGTGTCGCACTTTTATTTAGATAGGGAGGCATGTTGAATGAGTCAGGAGGCCTAGAACTGGAGTCTAGTCCAGCTGGTACAATACCACCTCCCCTTTCAGCTCCCAAAAGAGATATCCAGACACAGACTTTATGATTATTATATTTTTTTCATTGCCAGTGCTGCTCAGCCCTCAGCATAACTTCAGTTTTCATGAAATAAACAGTGACTATATAAAATTCCACCTTTCTGAAACTGAAATCTGAGCTCAGGTGAAAGTTTCTTCTTTCCCAAGAAGCTGAGCCTGTGTTGCAGCAAGAGAGACAAGGTTCTCCAAGTGAGGGGAGCTGCACCTGGGTCCTGCCTACAAGTCATAGCAACACCAGCTCACAATGGGGGTCTCAACGGACAGAAGTCAAAAGTCTTAAGACAGTGGGTGACCCAGATGGCCATAGAGTTCAGGCCTACGATGCTGGAACACAGGCAGGTGTTGGCGCAACCGTCGCAGATAATTGAGGTCAATTCGGGCAAGGCAGAGGCCTGGTCCTTCAGAGCAGCGGGCCACCACTGTTCCCCAGGGATCTACCACCATGCTATGGCCATAACTTGCTCTCTTCTCATGGTGGCGTCCACACTGTGCTGCTGCCACTACGTAGCACTGGCTTTCAATGGCACGGGCCCGCAGCAACACCTGGGGATGGAGGAGATAGGCGTTCACTTAAATACAGGTAGCAGCTAGTAGGGAAGTGATAGGCCATGGACATTACAGGCCAATCTACCCACTGTGACCATTCTGATAATTGCCTATGAACGATTTACTATGTTAACTATTCTGAGAGGCAACAATCTGGGGAAATGAATTTTCCCACTAGGTGGGAAGGAGAAGAAAATCTTTTAACTGGTAGAGCCAAGGGAGGAGAATGAGGTAAGAGAAGGCCCTTATGTTCTAAAGAGGTGTCCTCTTACCTCCCAATGGGCTGGGCCTGTAACAGATCCAAACGCTGAAGGGTAGGTAAGTATTTCTGCTCCAGCCTGAACCAATGCCAGAGAGAGTTCAGGGAACCGCATGTCATAGCAGATAGCTAGACCAATCTGGAATGAAAACAGCCTATTTAGTCTCCCGCCCTGTTTGTCACAGCATCTGGCCATAACCCCGCTACTGCACTCCTTAGGGCTTTCTATCCTCTACTACCACTTCAAAATATTCCTATTCCCCTCCCTCTTGTTCCTCTCCCACCCTCATCCTTTCACAACTCCCACCTTGCCTGCTGGTGTGCTGATAGGAGACTCAAGACTGGGCCCAGGTATGGTAGAGTTGCTTTCATGCATAGGCCCCTGCCCTGGAATCTCTACGTCACACAGATGCGTCTTCCTATACGTGGCCACTACTGACCCTTGAGTAAGAGGGAGAAAGAGTGCTCAGTGCTGGTGCTCTAGAAGCCCAGCTTAGTTCCTCTCCTCCCAAAGAGGAGGTAGCTTATAGGCTAGGAACAGAAATACAAACGCCCCTAAAACCCTTGGCCAAGGAAACAGTTGAGAAACAACACAGAATTCTGGAGAATCTTAGGTAGAAGAGCCTGAGAAGAGGCAGGCTGAAGAGTCTCACCCTTGTTGTTCAGAATCACATGACAATTGTAGATTTTCTGAGTCTGCTCCCAGTCTTGGCCACGCTCATGGAAACCACCCAAGGACAGCCAGAGTCCACATTCCCTGAGGGGGAGGGGACACTGACAACTCTTCTCAAGGCTCTACCCTCATATCTGGCAATCCTGGGACATTACCCAGAAAGAAACTACTTCTCCCTCCCCCTTTCCCTGATACCTGGCAAGCTGGGTATATTCTCCCAAAAGGTTCCCACCCAGTGGCTCAGACAGGTGAAGCGTCTCTTCAGGGTTCCGTGCAATGAAGTCAAATGCCTCAGGCAGGAAAGCCAGGCAAGCGCCCAGTCTGGCAGCCTCCCGAATCAGCTCAGCACATGTTATAAAGTTCTGCTCCTTGTCTGGTGTCGATGTTACCTGGCACACAGCCACCAGGGGTAGTTCCCAGGAGGAAGAGGAGACAGCCATGGCTCTGAGTCTGTAAATGGCACAGGCAGGACTCAGACTGACTAGCATGGGGAAACCCAAGTTTAATGATAAGAGGCTAAAATGGGGAGGCAGGAAGGCTGGACTTTCCTTTGAATCTGCTCTTACAGGGCACAGTGACCCATGGTACAATGACCCACTGATCAAATGTTCTGTGATAGTTGGCACCCCAGTGTTTCCCACCATCCATACATTTAACATTTATTGAGCATCTACTACATGCCAGGCACTGAGAACACAACAAAACATGTTACCTGGGCTGAGCACAAAGTACTGAGAGTCGAGGTATCCGGAGTCCAGGACACAAAAGGGACAGGAGCTGGTGAGGAGGCCTGATGATGAAGCCCAACCTGAAGAAGGTGAGAAATCAGGACACCAACCCCACTCTCAAGCAATAAATTTCTAAGATCCTCTGACTTCTCTCTTCATACTGTGAAGCTGAATCAGGGCCCCGCCTGTAAAACCCCCCAAGTCTTCAAAACACTCTGTACCATAAGTAATTATGGGCTACCGGAAGAGCTCATAAAGTGGGAAGATGGAGGAAAGGGCTTTGATCTCACATTAAATTGAAGCCTCTTTCCTCAAATGTTTCCGCAGTTCACAAGTCATCTCCAAGATCCTTCTTTGGTTTTCCCAGCCTCTGTTCTTGACTGTGCACCTGCACAGTTTTATTGACGCAAAGCATATTTCCCCCACCAGAGTCTCTGAGGGGAAGTTCACCCTCCCTCGTTCCTCATCACCCAGGGCCCAACCCGCGCCCCACTCTCCAGTTAACCCGTTCTTCCCCGCCTCTCCCAGGGGCAGCGTCTCTGTTGCACAAGTTAAAGCATGGCAGGTGAGAGTCACCGCAGCGGTTGTGATAGGTAGTAGGTCCTACATGAAGATACGACCAAAACGATTCGCAGGATCCGAACCGAAGAGCGGCCGGGAGGTGGGGTCGCCGGGGGCGAGAGGGCGGTAACTCCGAGACCGGACGTGACGCAGGGCGGGTGGGCTGAGCTACGCAGGCCGGAAGCCCAGCAGGCGGTGAAGATGGCGGAGAACAGCGGTCGCACTGGCAAGAACAGCGGGAGCGGCGCGGGGAAGGGGACGGTGTCAGCAGACCAGGTGGGGAGCAGGGAACGCGAAGGAGGGCAACCCGGCTGGGTCCGGAGTCGATGTGAGAACGAGGGAAGCCTGTGGCTGGTGCAGACCTTTACTCCAGTCCCACATTTGCGTGGCCACCCAGAGAGGGGCGGGTCCTTGGAGAAGCTAGCCGAGCCCCCGGGGAGAGAGTAGGCGGATTGGTAGGTGAAAGCCACGCCCCCTCGGGGTGTTGAGTGAGCCAGGGGGATAGAAAAGCTCTGAGAAGCAGGGTCTGGGAGGATGCGCAAGTCTGAGGAAAGATGGGTGGTCACTTTCCCTATTTTCCTCCGCACCTTCAAACAGGGTATGGCTGGGCAAGGCAGCTTCTAACGAATCCCAGGGGATTAGTCAACGGCTGGGAGTGTAGTCTGTTACTGGACCCTGAAACCACGTTGAAAATCGTCATCGCTCTGCAGAGACACGTGACTCACATACTCGAACAGTCTAGTGTTTCATACTATTTTGATTCGGGAGTCATTACTAGATTGAATTTTTTTTAGAGACCAGAAATCCTTTACTAAGAATCCGAGCATGCATTTCCCCTAGTGCCTTGCCTAGCACCGGGAAACGTTTGATAAATTAATCAGAAAAGCCCCTTGTGGCTTGGGAACCATGGTTTGCTAATAGTGGGGCTAGTGTTTACTAGGGGTGGGAAGAAATCTGCGTAATAGGGAAACGTAGTCAAAACAACAGCTTTTTATTTTTTTTTTATTTTTATTTTTTTAAAAAACTTTTTAAAAGTGCTTTATTTGCAGAGAGACTATGATTTGTGGCCTCTCCCGTTGCGGAGCACAGGCTCCGGACGCGCAGGCTCAGCGGCCATGGCTCATGGGCCCAGCCGCTCCGCGGCATGTGGGATCTTCCCGGACCGGGGCACGAACCCGTGTCCTCTGCATCGGCAGGCGGACTCTCAACCACTGGGCCACCAGGGAAGCCCCACCAACAGCTTTTTAAATTATAGTTTCATTTATCAGTTATTTGTTGAACAGTTACTATAGGCAGAGGTATTTGCATAAAGATCTTTAAAACTGACCCCTACAGTCAAAGAGCTTATAGTCTGGTGGGAAAAATATGACATACAAAATGTTAATGTGAGGCAGAAATATATCTAAGGGAGATATAAAGTGCTATGGAATTTTGGGGAGGAAAGAAGAGATAGTTTCTGACTTAGGGGGAAAAAGGCAAGGGAGAAGGAACTTAATACTTTTTGAGGGTCTGCCATGTGTCAGACATTCTGCTGGGTACAGGGAAAAAGATAAATGAAATAGACCTTGTTTTCAAGTTAACACAGACTCATTTGAGAAAAGACAAAGCAAACAGGTTTTTTTTTTGAATTTTACATTATTTTTTATACAGCAGGTTCTTATTAGTTATCTATTTTATACATATTAGTGTATATATGTCAATCCCAATCTCCCAATTCATCCCACCACCACCCCTCTCCCGCCACTTTCCCCCCTTGGTGTGCATACATTTGTTTCTCTACATCTGTGTCTTTATTTCTGCCCTGCAAACCGGTTCATCTGTACCATTTTTCTAGGTTCCACATATATGCGTTAATATACGATACTTGTTTTTCTCTTTCTGACTTACTTCACTCTGTATGACAGTCTCTATATCCATCCACGTCTCAACAAATGGCCCAGTTTCGTTTCT